ATATGTCGGCTCCTGCATCCCAAATGTGGCTGAGACTCACAGTTGCACAACACGAGGGTGTGTTGACAATCAAGTAGTTAGTAAGGTCACAAAACTTCAATGTTTTCAAGTCAAGTGTCACAAAACCAAGTAACGATTACGTGGTAAGCTTCCGGACTTAAAATGCATGTGTATAATTTATATTTATAAAAATTATTGAATTTTCCTGCCTCTGAAAGTCACACACTCTGCTCTGGCTTCAGCGTCTTACATAATAATAACTTAGAATTGATATCCTGGTAGCAAGAAGCTCGAACGGGTAAGAATGCAAAAATAAACACTCTACATTACGAAGAGTCAACATTGCTAGAGGCCTCACAAAAACATTATCCGCAACTTGCCCTGTTTTTGCATTCTGTCAGATAATTCTACGGGAAAATGTTTACCACGTTAAATTCAATGGCAAAGTAAACTTTTTTTTTGCTCAGCAAAGTCTGGGCAAGTGCTTATTTTTATGGTTAAAAGGCGCGGGACTCTTCAGGCAAGGTGAGGTCAAACTTGTGGGCGCTAAGTATAGAGCAGCAAGAAGCTATTTTGAGGAAGTGTTTTACTTGAGCCGCCGGTGTCGGCAGCCGCCGTGAACTCATAGCTCGCAATTCCTCGCCATTCCTCGGCAAGCTTCTTGGGAGCGCCCCCGGGGCAGCGAGAACGCGCGATACAAACGTGCTTGCGCGGCGGCGGTTAAACTGTGTTTGGTTTTGTGGAATTTTGAACAAGTAACACACACCCGTTCTTAATTTGTAGACTTGAAGAAAACACTTGCCTTTTCAGCGACAAGATCCACTTAAAAACTCAGATATTAAAATAGTAATTAGATATTAATATTGACAATAAATCTATACATGCAATTAATTATCGAGGATTAACGTGATACGTTCCGTAATTTATACACTTATCAAAAATTTTAAAAGCAAAGAAAACAGCCGAAAAATTCACCATTTTTTAAAATGAAAACGTTTCATTCATAAGAAATGGTGGCTGGATGTTTTCTTTGCTTTTTCATTCTTGATAAACTTGCGATTTAAGCAATCAAGTGATTTTAATACTATTACGCTTATTCCTCCACTCAAACTACAGGATCACATAACGGAAATTAGGAATACTTCCTTCTCCCATTAGTCATATAATGTTGCAATAAAAACGAAACGCTGAGTTACAAACACGGGATTGTCAATATTGATGTAATATTATTTTATGTAGTTGAAGTAACCTGAGTAATTCGCTGCTAGGTAAATGAATACAAGTAAAAAATGAACTCAATTCGAAGCTGCTGAAGAAGATGCTTCGCTGCAACCCGCGTTTGCAAGTACTTTGCCAAATCATTGAGCCTCGTACGATTTTATGGCCCGCTTGAGACTTCAGTTGCGATTTATAATCGCCATCGCCATTAGAGTGAAATCGAACTGCGATCAGTGAAGTGATCGGCCGTGCCTAGCGTCTTTATTTATTAGAAGCCGCATTCGCCCGAAGGCGGCGTGCTTGTCAAGCTCAGTTGTGAAGTAATCGTGGCAGGCTTCCGGCTGCCACTTGAAGCTCTTGAGGTAAAATTGTTTTCTTATTATGGCATGGAGCAAAATTTAATCAATAGATATGCAGGCTACTCAATGGGGATATTTTATCGGCTTTCATATGCAAGGCAGAATATTTGGAAAGCGGCGAAACCAAAAAACATTAGTAGTGTTCATACAAAGTATAGAAGATAAACTAGAAGTTTATCATAAAATTAAAATTTACCTAAAGATCTGATGAACAAAAATATTTAACCAACAATAACAAAGTTCAATGAATCACGAAAAATATTCCTTCATTTAGGGTAAAAAATTTGCTGTTAAAGTTATTCTAAATGAATTAAAACATCTATAATAAACTAGGTTACCTAGATATCTTAAGAGATGAAGTGGTCCTGGCTAATCAGTTCCTACTATCGGAGCCGCATTCCTCCGATACAGAGTCATGTTCATAATCTATTCACCTATCAATGGCTTCATGACACAGCAATTGGCAGCTCTCAGTGGCGCGCATTCCTGTGTCGATATCATTCCTTATGTGTGGCATTCCTCGCGCATACCTCAGTGGCAGCAGCCAGACAGCTAGATGCAGGTTAAACTTATGACTGGAGCGCTGGTGAGTAGCGCCCTGTTGAGCGCGCCCTCGACACTGTTGTGCCGGTCCGCCGTATAGCTCTAGGAATATGCCAGGTGATGTGATGAACGATGTTGTGGCGTGTGGGGTGGTCGATATAGGCGTTGTGATGCATCACAATGTGATGCTAAGGGTGTCGTGATGAACGATGTTGTGGCGTGTGGGGTGGTCGCTATAGGCGTTGTGATGCATCATAATGTGATGCTAAGGGTGTCGTGATGAACGATGTTGTGGCGTGTGGGGTGGTCGTTATAGGCGTTGTGATGCACCATAATGTGATGCTAAGGGTGTAGTGATGAACGATGTTGTGGCGTGTGGGGTGGTCGTTATAGGCGTTGTGATGCATCATAATGTGTTGCTAAGGGTGTCGTGGTGAACGATGTTGTGGCGTGTGGGGTGGTCGTTATAGGCGTTGTGATGCATCATAATGTGATGCTAAGGGTGTCGTGAAAATTATTGTGTCAAATGTTATTTTAGTGTCTCATGCCAATCAATTCTTTCAGTAAATTTTTCATGAACATACATCGCCAGTTATAAAAATAAACCTTTTTGCGTCATATTTAGGTAGCAGCTTCCAAAATCAATCAGGTTCCACGCACGCATTAGCAGTAGCTGTTTGCTGCCGCAAATGTGCGGCCCAAATGTGCTATGTCATGGTAATCAAAACTTGAAATTGGTGTAATGTCGCGTTCAGACTTTTCACTAGGGAATCCTACAATTACTTAAATTGCTTTAAAACCAATTTCACGAGGCTGGTATACGAGAATAACGCGTTATTTTACCGAACAAAAGTTGCTCATACAGAGCATACAAAGTTGACCAAATTGCCGCAATTTTGCTTGTTTCACGTGTAGCCAGATTTGCATGATTTCAGTTTCTATACCCACAAACTGGTGATATCAGTGATACCGCACACCTTAATTCAGTTCATTAATTTGCTCGATAAACTCTCTTCCGGAATGATAATGAGCCCGCGGTGGTATTTACGATCAGATTTAATTAATTTTTAAACAAGCTATGCAAGTATAATAACAACAGCCATTAACACAATGCGTTGCATTAAATAAAGTTAGAGAGAATGCATACGTCAGTCTAAAAGCATAACGTCTGTAACAAAGAAATTAATACAAAAATAATTGTTACATTCAGAATTTTTTTAGACTTTTGGCTGACAATTTGAAACTATAATTTTTCGGTGGGAATTCCCGATTACAAAACAATACATAACGAATGAAGGAGAGCGAGAGGGAGAGTGGGTGTGCAAGAGAGACAAGGCTAACGACCTCAGATCAAATTTTGGAATTTATTTATCAATTTTTTTGTAACGTATAAATTATTTCATTCATTTATTTATGAATTTTTAACGGCATAATTTTACAACGCTTCTTCAGAATAAAAAATCTAATATTAAAATTGATCACAATGCTTGATTATGATTAATCATTGTACAATAATTATTTGCAATAATTCTTGGCACAAATTTAACTTGTATTCACTTAATGATATTAAGCAGATTTTATATGAATCTTAATATCCCTTCAGAAAATGTGAAGAATGTCGAGCATGCGAACGCCTCGTAGATGATTATGGGCGCACAGTTTACAATATAACATTTCGTTATGTTTTTTTCGTATCTCTAAGCGGCGACACGCTCGGTGCATGAATGAGTGATTCATTCGCTGAATGATAGATACAAAATAATGCGCATTGTACGTACGGGCGAAAATTAACAAGCAGAGAGGTGAAAATCAACATGAGAACCTCACCTTGTGCGAGGTTCTACGTTAAAAATGGCATTCATTCTCGCTAGTCAGTTTGTCAAAAAAAAATTTCGTAATGTTACACGACAGCTCCGTTTGGAAATATTGATACTGAGAAAAATAAAATACGAATATGTTAAAGACTCCTGCAGATATCGAAAATTTATTAATTTCTAGAAAAATTAACTTGATAACTCTCAAGCAAAAATATTTGTTAATAATATTTTTTTGACAAAAAAGTTTTTAGCATCCAAAGAACTTATTTTACAATGAATTGATCTGAATTTTTAAAGATTCTCATTCGAAATGAAAAATCATTATGAAAACAATTTGGAACGGTAAAGAGAACTGATGACTGGTAGCAACAAGTATTTCTGAAACAGAACAGTCTCAGTTAAAATTATGACCAGTGATCATAAGAACCATAAGTAACAGAATTCGCCATTGTTATCAGCTACATAATTGAATTTAATGAAGGAAGGAAAGCTAAATAAAAAAATTATGAATGTAACGTGAGTCACTAATAGCTGACGCGCGGTGTTGCCACACTTCAGGGATAAGGCGACACCAGTTATATGGCAGCACCGGTGATATATCAACACTGGTGATATGGCAACACCGGTGATATGGCAACACCGTTGATATGGCAGCGCCGGTGATATGGCAACACCAGTAATATGGCAACACCGATGATATAGCAACACCATTGATATGGCAACACCAGCCGAAGCTCACGCGTCATTGGGCATCATCTTAAGCACGTCCCGTGAGAGGTGTTATAATTAATATGAGATGTCAGGTGTCGCGGCCGCGTGAATCACTGCGAAGGCATGCGGAGGGCAGCGTACGGCATACCTTAGTACGAGTCACGCTTGTCACACGTGCGCCAGACTTTATAAGCACGTGTCTTGAGCGGGTCTATTTTCTCCATGGGCATTGACTTGCATATTAGTATGACTTGCATACTAATCTAATATTAATATTAATAGAAACACAGGCAACAATGTAGATTAAGTATACAGTGAACTATTTAATAAATTCTATTCTATGTTGTTTCAGGTCGTGCTCGTCGCAGCTTACCCAATGGTGACCGGATCGCACACTTCCACGTTACCGTGCCCATGAGCGTGGATGACATCCAAGTCGTGTGGGCGAAGGGAACTTTCTTCAAAAAAGGCAACCCCAACACCAGATCTGATGACCCGAAGACAGTTTTCATGCAGCTTTATCGTATTGATGACATCAAGAGGTTCAGAGCTAAACACAAAAGCGGAGGGCCGGGTAAGGACCAGCTTCTCAGTTCCTTCAACTTAACCGTGACCGGTGATGAAACTCTCGAAGTTAACATGACTGAGGCAGTCAAGTCGTGGCTGGAATCCTCTAAGTCTGACACTGGAGTTCTGATCCGATGTCCTGATTGCATGGCACTCGGAGTCCAGATTCGGACGGGAGGAACGTCTCATGTGCCGACACTGCATGTGCAGACGCGCCTCTCAGCAACGAGGCGGGTAAAGCGATCTCGTGAATTGAGACGAGCTACTCGTGTTAAATTAAGACAGTTGGGAGACTGCAAAGATGGTCCTCACGACACCAGGCATCCGAACCGCTGCTGCAAGCGGTCAATGACAGTTCGCTTCGACGACTTGCCAGGATTTGACTTTATTGCGGCTCCTAAAGACTTTGACGCGTATTATTGCAGTGGCAAGTGCCCACCCAGGTATAATCCTGCCAATGAACACGCTCTCCTACAATCTCTTATTAACATGCAAAAAAAGAAAGAAGTTCCACGGCCGTGCTGCGCACCCACAGACCTGAAAGGTCTCTATATCCTCCATTACGATCACTCTGGTAAATTGAAAACAGTTCTTTGGAGGGATGTCATAGTGACTGAGTGCGGTTGCACCTAATCTGAGAGTTTAAGCGAACTATGTTAGAACAAAAACTCAACACTCGATCTCATTTATGCCAACAAACAGTGTTCATGAGTTTGTTGGTACAAAGAGTTTATTTGTGACCATACTAGTCATTCTGAATACGCTTTCTGTACCTTTAGTAGCCCTCGTAACCACAAACATATCACGTTGGTTGACGAGCAGATCATCAACAAAGAGATGGGGGCACACGAGCCACTGGCTTTCAAAGTCTTCAAGTGTGTTATCTTCCATTGGATACATTCCATTAATATCAAATGCACGAAGAAGTTGCAGATCAAGAGGGTGAGCATGACGAGTGGGCAAATTCAGCCTACATCCAGCACGTGTCTGTGAAGTGCATAGTTGTCACCTAAGCCTGGAGCTGTCGTAATGCGCGAGAAGTTGAAGCATGGCAAGTGAGGTTCTGAATATTCAGGAGAAGCACATCGCGTTAGTTGTTGACTATAACCATAGCGAACTTAATTAGTGGTAGATAAGCGGATGTTCCTCTCTATTTTATGAAGTTATTTTTTCGATTTCTGTATGTTCTTGCTGTTAGACGAGCTTCGATACGTTTCTTATGATGTCAATGATAGTTTTACCTCTATGTTGATAATGTTATCAGTATTTAATTACTATGTAGACTGTGTATAAAGTATCCTAAGAAATCATTTATTTCATTCAGGTGTTATTAAGCGAGGTAATATCTATCAGTATTTTAATACTTTTATATATTGATAGAATTTTTCCTAACTACTGGTTAAATCTGCAGTCTTTACTTGTTCTATTAAAACTTCTAGCTTCAGCGAAGAGCTCCTGTTCAGAAACTGATATGGTTAATCATGTCCTAAGGTCATGTGAATCGAGTCATAATCTTCTATTTTCTTATTCATTTCAGGTATAAAGATTAGTATTTAAATCTAATCCTGTTATTTGTACTTATTTACACCTCGAGCACTCGATAATCATATAAGATGAAGAATGTGTCTCTAATTTTTGCCTGTTCATCTCATGGTCTTATTTTCTTCTTAACACACTTTGTAAACTGTTCAAATATTTTTTCACGTGTCATGTTCTTGATGTTCAATGTTAACTTTTTCGAGGTTTACTTCATTTGTCGCACTAGTGCGATTATCAGTATAGTTTACAATGGCAATCGACAATATCATTATTATACAGTAGGAAACTCAAAGCCATGCGATCAATTTATGCCTTTAAACTAACGTATCTATATCATTGCTAGAAACATATCTAAGTATTCATGAAAAATAAGGTGAACTAGAGAGAACATATCCTCGACCTAAAGGGCTTTTTAGCATATCACTTTTAACGGCTATAGTATTGTGGTCATTATATCATATCAGTTATAAGATTCCTACCGAATTTTCACACATTTCTCGAAATTACGAACCAGGCAAAGGGAAAAATAGGCAAATATTTCCTTTTAGGATATTAATATCTTGTATCGCGGGCATCCTGTGAAATCTGTGGTCGTAAAATCATGCAGTTGCTCCTGAATCTTCATACATCAAAACATAGATTTTAAGTTGTTTTAAACTCCGAAAAATAAATCGTGAAAAATTACTTTCTGAAAAGTTACCCATTGCGTATACATTTTAATCTATGACACGTACATGTTCTTTACATGTTCGTCGAAAACATGTGCATGTTTTGTGCATGTTCTTCGACAGCGATTTAAAATGTTATTTGTGTCAATTTTAGTCGCTTAAACCATTTGTTGCCTAAATATTTGTTTTACATTTTTAGATATTTGATTTCTTACTGTGATACATAATTAAGATTTTAATATATTTTTACATTATTTTTTCCTTATTTATATTATTTTCCTACTTTGACTCGCCCTAAATTTAGATAATTATCACTACAATGAAAAATATTCGTTACAATCTCAATTAACTATACAGGTACCTCAAAAAATTGGTCACTTTTCTATAAACTGACAAAACGGCACCTCGCATGAAGCTTCGAAAATTCTCATTTATTTTGAATTTAAATTTCTCCAATGACCGGCGAAACATATTTTTGCTGATCAATTACAGAGGACCTAACATCATGACATTCTCACACCTCTGAATTCCATGGCTAAATTACTTCAATGATTGACGTAATAAACTTTCTTCCTAGTGCTCGGTTTAAATAAAGGGTACGAGGATCCAAAATTACAAAATTTCAAGTTTGTTGTAATACGATTATAAAAGCAAAACACAAGTCAAATTAAGATAACTTGCCTATATTTCGGCTACTACAGTTTGGATAGCAGCGCAATTATGTTCTGCATGAATTTCGGTGTAAGAATTTCTTGAGTTTAAAATTACAGACGTTGTAAAACGACACACAATCGAATTTCAGAAATTTTACTGGGGAATATTGTTTATTATAATTCATAATCAACAGCACGGTTCATATTTACCAGATGAATTTAATATACGGCATGAATTCAGTTCCAAGTCATTCAGACACGGAAATCGAAAACTGCCAGTAAATCTAGCAGGAATGAATTAAATTAATTCTTAAAGTAAGAATATAAACTCTCTTAAAAGTATACATTGTGCAATACTTACATGCCTCACAAGGTTGAATAATCTCTCAATGAACTGCTGAACGCTTGGCTCTGGCAAGTTGACGCGGCAGCCTAACCCTGCCCGGTACGACATCTCTTAGTTTATGGTCGTCATGTTTCTGTTGTTTTGCTGTTCGTCCGCGTAAAAGTTTATGTACGAGTTTGCTCACTGGAAGGAATTCCGAGGTATAATGTCCATGTCGATATCTCTATTAAGTTCGCAAGAGGAACACTGTAGACGCAGATATTTTTGGTATGTATAGCAACTTTTTTAGAGACTCGTTTCGTAGCTGCATTGAAGCAATCTAGAATGTCTACATAGCAGCCAAGAATATGTATAGTCTCTGCCATCATAGTTTATCTCTGCCAAGTGTATAGCTCTGACTCTACGTCGATGGTAGTAACGTTTCAAGAAACTCCAAGTACGGGATGCTTATGGTGGCCGAATGAGGAAATAGCGTCGCAGTACCCAGACTTACGAGTTTCACGAACTGACCACAGTGGCAAACAGGCTGGTTTTATCATGGCATACGTGAACACTACCTATACTGTAGATGTAGGCAATAAGTACATGTTTTGTGTTGCGATGGTTCTTATGGGCAAAGCTGTCTCAAATAACTCTGAAAAGCTCTTTAATGTAGTTTGGTGTATCGCTGTCTATAAGAAAGGAGCATATATAGTGCGTAATATAGAGCCTCTCTAGCTTATAGATATTGAGTGTCGAATATCCCGGCTTCCATAGGAGTTCATCTAATCAACATTAGAAGTCTAATAATAATGATGATGATGTTCGTAAATTTAGAGAATAAGTGATAGATGTTAGTCATCGTCTCGCTGTAGTGTTATGAGTGTTTTCAGAACTTGCACTCCCTTTCCGCTGCACCAAGTCATGTTTTGTGGTGCAAGTAAGCGTAAAATATCTCAATGCTGCGTCTCAAGAAAGCTTGAAACACACTGCGTAACTGGTCTTTTGTGAAGGTCAGCATTATTCCAATCCAAGAAATTACTTCCACTTTTACCGTAATTTGATATTGGATCGGAATAGAAAGCTTCTCATTAAGACCACTTCTCCCGGTGGCAAGCTTCGTTTCAATTTCGCCACTATTCATGGTAGGCAAGCCCGCTCGACGGACTCCACTATATGATAAACATTAAGTATAATGATAGAGAAAACTGATAAGCACAAGAATTCTGGCTGAATCGCACAAAAGTTCGTTTATTAAAATGCATAATACATACAATACAAATTTTTATGTGATTGCTGAATATATAATCAATCATTGCGCTCTATTTAAACAGATGATCAATCGTTACGTAATGTAACCCTCATCCTCAGCTAATATTATAATACAATGTTCCTCTACCCCCAAAAAGCTACAAACCCGCACGCCCAACTGGACTCAACCTTCCTCATAAGCAATGCACAAAGTTTTTGATAGAAGTTAGCCTAAGTGATATTTTCTCGCTTGATACTAAAGAGGTTTCTTTATATATGAGGACTTCAGCCAAGTAAAGCGTTGGGATATGGTCCGAGAAGCAGATGAGTTACTATGCCTTCAGTGACAGCATTCACAGAATGCTTACGAGATGCAAGCGTTGGTTTTTGTACGGGGCAGTACAGCAGTTGAATTCTGATGACAACTTTTGAGAGTTTCACCAATTAACTGCTGGAGTTCTAAGTTTCTTGAACAGATAGTTTACCAGTTAAATTTGAATAACAACCTATGACAGTTTCACCAATTAACTGCTGGAGTTCACAGTTGCATTGTGCAAGATAGTTTAACAGTTGAATTCCAAGGACAGCTTATTAGAGTTTAAACATTTCATTGCTGGAGTTCCAAGTTGTTGAAGACTAACTCTGGAATTATATATCAAGTAACTTTCCAGCTCACCTTGTGTAATATTGCTTATAATTAAATTTACTGTTCGGAGTTAGACGTGCTAAAAATCAGCAATCTTAGTATTTAGATTTTGCTGTGTGCTAGGGTGTCAGTGTAAGACTTGTCTTGGTGGCTAGCTCACTATTATTACTATTTTTTTACTAGGGTATTGTGGTAATATGATATACCGTATATCCATATTTGCCGCCCGCTAATCTTCCTGTAATCACGATTCGCTTGTATGTGTCTTGCCCGGCGTTTCACCGGGATTAAAATATCCGGCGTTATAATAATTGGCGTTATAATCACCGAAGTTATAATCACTGGCATTATATTCGCTGGTGTTATAATCAAGGGCGTTATAATCACTGGTATTATACTCACCGGTGTTTTATCCGCGGGCGTTATAATTACTAGTGTTATAATCACCGGCTTTATATAATCACACCCGACGGTAGTCTTGCTGGCGAGAATACGTCTTGTAGAGAAAGATTGTGTGGACAAATTCTTGCATACAAACAAGCCATATCGAGTCTACGATGCAAACATATCAGTAATTATCAGGTTTTTGCTGCACTAAAATTTTTTTAATGCTTTGAATATAATTTGAGTAGTTTACGATGTTTTACAAATGTATCCTGTTGATTTGTTGTATCTTTCTTTACAAAATTCACTTCATAATATTTTTAAGTAAGTACAATATCGGTGAATAACTTATCATTGAATTGTAAAGAGCTAACGATCTCTGTAATGATTACCAATATTATTACTGTTAGTCAATAATCACGTCATAATAATCCCAGTGTGTCACTCAGTATGATTATTTAGCTTCGCTTAAACATTATCACTATAATAATGATTGCTTGCATTGCTAGCTCATACCAAATTTACCAGCACACTGCAAGGGTTAAAAGGATTACTCCCAACGGCATCAACTCAACCTAATTATAATAAATTTAATATTTGATGCAACATTTCTTTTTGAAATGATAATCCCTGAACCATAGATTATTGTCTTGTGATGAGTTGCGTTCGCCATTTGTTCTGTACAATTAATTTCTAAATATTGAAACCACTTTTATTCATTTAAAATACAAAGAACAACATGATTACGCTACTATAAAGATATCTCTAGAAAAGTATTTAAAAGAGTTAGTGTAGACTAGAGGTTTAATGCTTGACTGCAGCAATAATCAATATATTATTCTGCTACAGTAGGAGTTCTCGACCGAGGTATTGGAGGCAAGCCTTCAGCCCATACACTTTAATCCAAGCGACTCACAGCACTGCGTTGGTTATAATATCGAGGATGTAAGCTAACTATACAGGCATAATCTATGGTTATAATATTAAGGATGTAAGCTAACTATACAGACATAATCTATGGATATAAAATCGAGGATTTAAGCTAACTATACAGGCATAACCTATGGTTATAATATCGAGGATGTTAGATGACTATACAGGAATAATCTATGGTTATAATATCGAGGATTTTAGCTGACTATTCAGGCATAACCTATTAGTTGGTCCCTGTTAAATCATAAGCGATGTTGCTACAATGTTTGAGTGTGTAGGTGCTACACCATATAGCGATAGTATACTAGTATGAAGAAATAATATAAATATATAAATACCATTAGATATAACTAATATATATACGTATATAATACCTTATATTGTAGACAAAACTTACACAGTCGGTGTGTGTGTGTTGTTCTCTGTACTTGAAACTCTGTGCCATCTTGTACTGGTAAGAGAGATGCCATTCTGGGGCAGTTCGTGTAGTTATATTACAGCTGGATAATCATGATAAATTTAACGCTATAAAGTTTAATGACTTAAAAAATATCTCAAATGTGCGTATTTCGAGAGGAGAACTTGACCACTCAAAAAATCAATGCAATGAAAGCATTCAGGGATGAATGAGCCCGGAATTCTATGTCAGCCAATTGATTCTGAATATTTTCGCAAAACGAAACATCTTGAATTATTTTAATGGAAAGCTTCAAAAGATATACTATATGTGGGTGCTGTAATTTGCACTGTCATAGAACATTTGACTATAAATTCATATTTAGATATCAATTGAATGAGAGTACACGGGTCTCGAGTATATAAATTCATATTTAGAGTAGATCTCATCCTGTTGCATGCCATATATACGACAAATTGCAACAAAGGAAATGGCAAAAAGGCTACTTTATTGCATACTGATTAATGTGTCAACAGATAATCACAATTTCTAGTAAGTTGTGTAAAAAATTAATTTATTTATTATAAAAAAATTATCAAAAGTACAATTACTTCGAGTCA